ATCGTTCCCCGCGCCCCAGGCCCACCAAGCCCTCTATACCTCCGGGCTCGGCAAACTGGTACCAGACTTGTCTGGGAGGATAGCAGCAATGGCTCGCCACCGCGAGTCATTGCAAAAGACAGATACAAATTCAGTAACCTCCAACGATACTTGGTGCAGTCGAATCATGGCGCTTCCCTCAGGGATTGATCAACACCGAGAGCTTTATTTGGGGCATTGCACACAGTCGTTCAATTGGTATCCAGTGTATACTGTCATGAAACCAGTTCTATTGGCTTTAATTCTGGTGCACTCGCGTTTCCACCAACATTGAAAATGTGATTTTTATGTCAGGAGTTTATTATAAAGTAAAAATAGTCTCTTTACCTTGGTTTACAGGGTTTAAGTTTGAAAAATGCTTTGAAGTGGGTATACGAGTACAGTTGATAACAGCAGAGGATATGGTGTGAGAAGGGCAGCGACCCATCGCCTCGTATCTGCGCGCTGGTGTAGAACGACACCTCATTACGTTTTTGGCACCGAAACTCAAACCTTGTAAGTCTCACTCCTAACATTGTGCAAGGAGTACCATGGCCTAACAAAGCTAGAACGATTTCCTTCTAATCCAGACACTTCTTTTTGTGATCGCAACACAGCTGCATCCATAGCGAATCAGTGAATAAATAAATCAAAAAGTTTCGTTGGATGCAATACATCAATGTAATTATGAGCTTATATGAGGTTGTCAGAAAACTTTCTTGCATATTTTTGGCGCCATCGGCCCCTCTAAAGCCACAATGATTCCATTTGGGTGTCGATAGCAGTTTTTGTGACTCTGTTGTGTGAGCCTTTTGGTACCATCGAGTCGGATGTAGTGAAGTGGAACATTGCACAATGCAGTGTTTCCAGTTCGCATCATTCCTCTATACGAGATGTATGATTTGCGCTTAGGTGGATACCACTAGTTAAGAATATTCATATATTCATACTAATGTAAGACTGTTCGTTGATCAATAGTGTTTAGCTGTTTTTTACGTTTCTGTGCTATGCGGACAAGTTGTTTCAGCACTTAGAATATGGTCGAATACCAGTCAATCTGCCAAAAGATGCAGATCAGTAGACGTTAGCGCCGTTGTAGCCGTAGGCACGTGGAACAGAAGGTTTCAGAATTCAAAACAATCACTCCGGTCATACGGTCATTCCAACCTGACTCCACCTTCCTCATGGCCAACAACTGGTCCTTCATATCGGATATCTGGACTGTCAAGTCATAGCACGTCCAACGGACCACTAGTACGCACAACCAAGTCAGTTGTGGATCACCGCTCACCACTCACGCACAGCTGTTTTCATATTTATCACTAATGTGCCGCTCTTATCAAAGATATGTATTGTGTACGATTCTCACTTAGCTGGTTCAATAAACTTTTCTTGCAGACTAAAAAAAACCTGCCCATACTGAACAACGGAATGACTAATTACTTATTAAAGTTTTCTTCAAAAGCTAAGTAATGCCGAGCTATTTTATACAATCGTGGTATCTAATCAATAATTTGGTTCTGTTCAGTGTGTATTTTTTCTTGATAAGCTTGCACGAGGTTGATAAATATATTTATTTTCGGCTAACGTTTCGACGTCTTCGTCTTCATCAGAGCCGATGATCCGAGTCGATGGTACATGATTGTTGTTCGTCTCGACGTTGCAGCTTCGCCTTCGTGTCGAGCCAGGTCTTCCTCAGTGAGTCATCTTCTCAGTGTACTGTTCAGTGTACTTGCAAGGTAAAACGCCTCCAAAACTATTCAACGGCCGCAAAAAGTTGCGATGGCAAAATAAAACCAAGACGAAAGCAAGAGCATCACAGACGCTTCGAAGGAGCCCGTAGCATGCTCAAAGAAGAACGAAAATGGCTCTGATGTTAGGATGGGTGAAAACTCTCTAGAGGTAGAAAGAGCTGGAGAAAGGGACCTCTAAAGAAAATAGGTCAATGAAAAAAGCCCGGCTCTGCGTTGCAATCGTCATTCTTAAATAATGTCGTGAGCTTGGAGCTTGACTCTTTTAGTACAGCATCTGTCATACATTGTATGCTTAATGGGACAAAATGGAAGAAATGTGTTGCATCTAATGCTTGAAAGATAGCGCTTTTCTAACCATTCTCTGTGCTCAATAGATAGGCTGTACAACGCAGGTGTTATGTCATTTCAGGCCTGGCCCATGAAAAGCTCTTCGGTACTCTGAATAATTTACTGAGAAGGCTTTCTTTCGGACGGATTTGTTGACCGGTGACTTCAGTGGTAATCGACTGTTACTTCGCTCCAATCAATACGATGAACCGTGGCTATTTTGTGGAGTGGGCGAGTGAGGAAATACCAAAATAGACACAACTTAAGGTACAAAGCGCTTCTAAATGCTGACGCAAGCGATGTTTTTATTGCCAAAAAATATAATAAATAGTAGCATATATATGCCCATGCTTGCCTCTAGAGTGACAGAGTTATGTTTCTTTCGTCGCTCCGTAACGCACCCAACCCCTCCAAGTCCTCTGGTTATCGAGATATTATCATTCATTCTCGAGAAAGTAGCAAAGCTGTAACGGCGTGAAATTGTTCCTTCTTTTCGTATCTTGCGGCCAACTTGTTACTTCATTGCTGACAGCCGCGCTGACCACCAACGTACAAATTTATCCTAAAATCCTAGTTAATAATGCGGTAAAATCACTAGTTGCAGTCTTTAATGACCTAAATTTTATTTCAACAGAAATTCGCCAGTGTTTGGTTAACCAAGACAACATGAAAGAGGGTAGCATGGAGGTTAGACTAGACTCTTACTTGGATACCTGGTTACTTGGATAACCCTCCCTCACTGGTCGTGTGGGCGTAGGCATATTCTCCATTTTTCGGAGAATTGCTGGTTAAGCCGTTGTGGTTTCCTAGAGTCTCGAGGTCAGCCTGGCCAAAGTCTGCCCCAGGTCATTAAGATCACATGCAGTGGCCGGGATTGTGTATCGGAGGGAGATTTGCCAAGATTTGCCACCATGCGATGCCAGGACGGTGGTGGATATTGGTTCACTCTTATTTGGGCTTCCTGTCGGAAACGCCAGACTCATTCTCAGTACGGGATACCCTGCCTAGAGGTGAAACCACCTGCTGTGCATCACAGCCCCACACCCAGGAACACTCCTCAGCCACGATGAAGCGGTAAACCGTTGGGAGGACGTCAGATTCAAATCTTCACAAATATCCTCACTGTGTGATTCCGTTATTCGGAACTGTCACATGTGGAGCCAAAAGCGGACCACATTCTTTTCCTTTGAATGGTATTACCTATGATTAGCTCGACGCTATCAGCAAAACCAAGAATGTAAGCTGCTGGTAGCTAATAGTCACCCTTGAACTATTCTGTCCTGCTGATAACAGCGTAGGCGTGGAATCTGATGATTACAAAAGAGATGTGCATTTCATGAAGACACCCGTTAAAAAAATAATCCCTCCTTTATTATTTGTGATCTCACTAAGACCTGCTTTTTCCCAGGTCCGTTGTTTGCGAATTTTGAAGGAAAATGACATGTTGTTCGCAAACCAGGCTTCTATGAGTTGATGGCCTGGTTTATAGTCTCGCAAGCTTCGCTGAGAAAAATATGAGAGAAAAAAACGTTTCCATGGCAGATAGCAGAAATACTCGAAAAAGTATTAATTACATCTCGATCTTCGTAAGAAGCTTTTTCTGCTTTTGTGCCAAATTTATGCCTTATACTTCGAAAATGACGGTTGAAAAAAACCACTAACATTTTTAGAATAAAAGGATAAAGGGTAAAGCTGTCGAGATTGATCAATCCCAGAGGAGTGCGACGTGCATTCGACTTCATTAAGCATCGTTTGAAGGTGATTGAATGCATATCTGGCCTTTACAATGACTCTCCGTGGCTGGCCGATGTATCGAGCCAGTGCTGCCATCCTCCCAGACAAGTCTGGTACCAATTTGCCGATCCCGGAGGGATGGAAGGCTTGGTGGGCCAGGGGCGTGGGGATCGATCCCGTTTTTGCGTCCTAGGACGCCTCCAAACACTGCGCCACATTAGCCACATTTTGATACTAAGAAGGAATAACTTTTCAGCCACGTAGATTTAGTACTGCTTTAACCTAACAATAAATACAGATTGCAAACGCAATCACTCATCTTGTGACAGCTAAAGGTGACGGTGGATTAAATGTCGTTTACGGTTGGTTTTGTTCAAGCTGCATTTATTTTTCCACTAGAGAGGAAAAATGATTCGTCACGGACTTACAATAGTGAATTTGATACAGGCATTGAGAGCATTCCGTCTGGCCAGCTTCTGTTGGCTCACCAATGTGTAAGATCTCCTGTTGAGCCTTTTTGATCGGTTTCTATCAGTGGTTCGATAACCGTCTGTGATCTATTTGGTTTTCTGTTAGTACATAAGAGTTTCAGTAGCACATTGGGGTGAGTGTTTAGTTCTGTTCTAGGGCTCAGAAGTAATATAAAGCTATTGTCAAACGCTTCGTAGTCATCGATGATTGCGTCACATCCTATGTGGGATACAAATAGTTGTAATGAAGAACTACAAAGGTAATATTGGTCAACACAGTAGACTCACAGAGCACCTTTCGCTCTTCTTCTTTTCCTCTTCTGAAGCGATGTTATATTTCCTAAGCATTTTCACTTGATATTCTTGTGCTAAGAAGCTCCCCAATTCTGTTTTCGTGCTAGCTATTCCGGTCTTATCTGTAAAATTCGTCCGCATTCCTATGAAGTACTTGAATTCCACTCCTATTGGAAATATTTTTTAGTGGCGTACTTAGCGATTATATTCATGATCGATTTAAGTCGTTTAAAGTAACGAGCCTGCTGTTTTGATTTCCAGGATCGGCTCTCCATTAACCTCGCCATTGTCAAGTAATTCAGTTTTCTTCACGAACAAGCACGAGGTTATTAACAACAATATTTGAGCACTGTTTTATGCGTTTATTAAAGCGATGGCTAGTGCAATCGTTTTCCCAGACTCCTTAGTTGATATAGAGCCAGTCAGTGTTCGATGGTATTTTAATGTCTGCGACCTGCTGACTATCACAAACGAGAGCGATTTGCGTTTTCCAGTCACCCTGAAGTAAAACTTTTCGTAACAAATTGACCATGGGATTTATTTCGCTCAAATCCCACTGCTCCCATAAAGCAAATTCGAAGTACATGGATGATGTTCGTAGTTTTCAGAAAGTGTGAGAATCGCATCTGTTGCGACTGCGCCCAATAAGAGAACATGAGCAACTTACGGGGCTTGTCCAAAAATTATCATTAGATCGTTAATTTCTTAATTTGAACTAAAGAGGTCTCTTCAAAGATACGGTTCAACATTACCTTAATGATAAAGGCCAAGGCACCCTGGGCGGCTGGTAGTTTCACGACATTGCTTTTGCCAGTTGTCTTCTCTACCTAAACTTTACTATTTCCGAGATTATTACTACCATCGTTGTTATTGTCACTTTCCTTGCCACTGTTATTACTTTGGAAAATACTGGACAACTCTTGTTACCACCGTTTTTAATATTATTGGCATTAAAATTATAATTAATTAGTTACAGTTCCCAGGATCGACTTTCTATTAACCTCAGCATTGGATTATAAATATTTCGTTTTCTTTCACTTTCTCAGCAATCGCGAGGCTGTTATTCGGCACGCGTTTATTTTCTTACGAAAGGAACAAACAAACAAAACGGTAGCTGGTGTTTCGGCAGTATCGTCCTTTTCAGAGCCTGGAAGGGTACAAAGCCAAATCATCAACCATATGCGATTCTGAGCGGCCGTTCTTCCTGGGTGGAAAGCAGGAAATACACGGTGGGTTTTCCGAGAAGCTGTTGACCATGTAATTATCGTTCAGGTTTTCATCTTTCTCTTTGTTCTGTTGAAGGATTTGACTTCGTGAATTGCCCATCAGTGCACCCTTCCAGGTTCTGAAGAAGGCGATACTGCCGAAACGTCAGGAACCGTTGTGTTATATGTGTTCCCTTTGTAAGGAAATAAACGTGTGCTCAATAACAATCTCGAGATTGCTGAAAAAAACAGGATATATAATTATTAGAGCCGTTCTAATAGTAATCGTTATTATGGAGTGTGGGTAGCGCAGTAGTTAGTAATATAACCCATCAGGAAGTAAACTGCTGGTTCGAGCCTCTTCTTCCCGAAGCTGTCCTCGAGTCTACGTGGGTACGCCTCAGCTCGGCTATCTCTATGATCACAAGGAGAGACTTGAATAGCATACTACGACATTCATACGGAAGACAAAATCCTCAAGCAGCAGCCGGTACAACACTCGAGATTTTCGAAGGCCTCTGTGAACGACAAATGTGAGAAAAACGAATTGAATGCAAGAAGTTCTGAGAACCGGGCACTGGATATGATAACGGGTCATGTGAATTAAATGAAATCGTTATTGTTGTGTGTTGCTAACATTCATATCATTTCTTGTAAGGAAATCCTGCTGGCGCTTGGTGATCATGGTTCAGCATGTTAAAATAAACGGATAGATCGCTAACAAACGAAAAATCTCAGGTTTCTTTTCCATTTATATTATGACCCTTGCATTGCGTTGTGACAGCCAAATGAGTGTAAAAAAAAATGAGAAAGCACGAATGCTCACCTCCTCCAGATCATAAGTCCCAGGTGTGCTAATCATATCCACGAACGCTTCACCAAGCTCTGGATACACGGCATGGTGGCTAAATAGTTTCTAAAAGATAGACGAATCGGTTTCAATTAAATATTGGTCTCACCAGTCTGTTGATGGGATCAGCTCGGATTCAGAGACTCCGTTCTTACAAACAGTGCCGATAATGAACGAGTCCTTTGTCAATGTCAGACTTATGTCACCAGATTTCTTCAGATCAAATGATTTGGTAACGGTTATCGTACCTTAAAATGTAAAAAATGAGTTTTTTATGACTTTTGCGCTCACACTTTAATCAAGGCGCATTTACAGCTTTAAATAAGCTTTATTTGGCCGGTTATTGTAGACAAAAACGGTACCATAAGAGATCTCCCCGCCTTCGAAAAATTAAAACCGCTTTCAAGTCCTGATGGAACGAGATTTTCAGTTTTGTGATTTTTTTTAATAAATTGGGCTTTTGAGCAAGTCTTTTTGGGACAATGTTTAGAAAGTGTTTACTTGCCATTAAGAAGCTTGATGATGCCCGGAAGTTTGACTGCGGCACGACCTTCGTGGCAGGACGGATTGCCACTGTTGTCGTAAGTTCGAGCGACGACGTCTTTTACACGAATGAAAAGCGCACCTGTGAAATGTCATTGTAAGACATGGCAAGAGAAAGATGTGAAGTACTAGGTACCGTAATTATATTTAAAGCTCTTTTCTCATTATGTTTACGGTAAAGAAAATCTATTAAACAGCATGTGTCTGGTTACGAGATCGTTACTTAGTGCAACTCTTGAACAGTCGTGGTTGACTTTATGTGGCAGATGTTAAAAATAGGAGTGACTAGAAATGTTTAGTTACGACCACGCCAGCGGTTGGAAAGGAATTCAAATTACGCTGCTACAAGTGAGTGCTAGGGACCAGTCCCAGAACTTTTAAATTCAGACAAACGGTTAGTGTGCAAACATTTCCTATTCCGTAAATAGTTTGTGCGTTTCCGTTGTTTGGCAAATCAGATTAATGAGACCACAAATATTTCCATGTCTTGAGTTACAAAACGAAACTATTATCTGTTTGAGCTTCGGCCATTATGGTTCATATTAGTACGAACTTGGGTCGCCAACATTGTCCATGTCGACGACGTTGTTGACACCATCCACACATTCACCATTGGCAGCCGCATGCGGCACGATTGGCGGGGCGGCGAAAATGAGTGCTACGAGTGTCGAACAGACTAGAAGTGACCACATTCTGAAACAATTCGGTTTCGCAATTGTAGTTGTAGATCGGATAGATGGTGCATTGAGCAGACGATTACGGTTTTGTGATTAGCGTCAAGTTATATAGGCACATTATCAGTAGTCGTTGTTCTTCGACAGTGATGACATAACGACAACTGATAACATTGTCTCATGTCCCAGGATGAAATGCCTATCATGCTTTCGTAATCTCGTCACACTAGACAAACTAAGACAATTGTAATGGTTTCGCAATGGACGAGGAAGGAATGTCATCAGTACCGTTCATCGAGTTAGCTGTCACGCAAAGTAAAGTAGAGGTCTTATTTCAGTGCAGAATCTCCATGGTTAAGAAAGCGTTGAACGTCAGGTCCCAGTCCTACCGTTTATTTCCGAGTTACGTAATGTAACCTTCCGACCACCTGTCTCGAAATTATCCACACATAGCCACTCCTCGTGTTGTTTTTTCTATTTTTATTATCTATTGCTCCTGACGGCTCACCACTCTATCGTGGATGAGAGGTCCTCATTTTTGGTTGTTCCTGGGTGTCGGGCTGCGATGTACAGCTGGAGGATTTATCCCCATAGCAAAGTCTTTCAACCCAAGAAGCTGTCTTTTTCCATTCAAGAACCCCACTAAGAGTAATAAACCAAGACCATAATTCATCACCGTCCTGGTGTCAAACTAAGTGGTATGGTGACAAATATTCCTTTGATGAACAGGGGCGGCGACTACCTGAGGTGATGGCGACTTGAGGAAGGTCTCGGCTAAGACTCCAGGGTACCACAATGGCTAAACTAACAAAAGTGTGAAAAAATGGAAGTTATGATGCGGGCCGCACAACCAGTGAAGACAGCCGTCCAAGTAGCAACAGCAACAACATCAACTTACACCAACCTCAAATCAGCTCAACAAGATCTTTTCGAAAGAGCATATAAATAAGTAAGTAACTATTTCGACGCTATTCCAGTAAAGCCAAGTGTTCAATCTATTGAAAGCCAGAAAGCTGCTTTCCCTTTTTTCTGAAAAAATCTTCGTTGGTGCTCTTCACAGAACGCCTTTGGTACACGCCCGATGTAGCGTCTTCAATTAGATAACCACCCAATTAAAATTCGAGATGAGCAGTCATATCCTTTTTCCGTTTTATTGAACTCACTTTTATTTTTATTGTTATCACTGCAAATATCATTACTACATATTTTGTCTATTGTCATATAATTTCGAGCAATCCTTTACCTTGCATCACAGCGATGCACTGGCCTTGAATGTTTTGACTGCAATCCACAGAATGGTGTTCTTCCACATTTCTATCTGAATATTTAGCTAAAAGTAAGCTGTTGGATGCTGCCGTTCTAAAAGAAACATCGTCGCACTGCGACAAACCCTCCCTTAGGTGCACCCTATGGTGCTAACCTGAGAAATATTACGCTTTATATTCTGGTAGGTATATTGCTGTAAATGGCAATAAAACAAGTTCAAGGTTCAAAAATAGGAATGCCACGGCGTTTTGTAATAAATCAGGATCTTGTTCGGGGCTATTTGCATTTCGCGAAAATTTTATGGCAAGTGATGTTGTCGCAAATTCGGCACAGCATGTGATAGCTCTTATCGGTACTTCCTTGGAAAGGTTCAATTGTTTCTTAGAGGTCGAACTTAGCCAGTGGAATGCTTTGTATCAAAATAATACGTAGTTACAAAGATGCTGAGATATTTGCAAAACTCCGAACCGCAGGTGTCTGCGCTGACGAGTGATTGCTGATGGCAGCGATCGATTGAAGTAGCTGAGAGAAAGGCGAAACGAAGGACCCGCATGGTGTGGTGATGAACGCGTTACTTTCCGGAAAGGACAATAGCACGTTCGTTCCCCACCGCAGACGCTTGCAGTCCGGAGTTTTACAAATATCTCAGCAACGTTGTGGTTGTATTTCGCTTAGTAACCTGCCATGAAAATTATAGAAGGCAGAAAACAAAACGTTAAACATTAAAATTATAATTAATTAGTTACAGTTCCCAGGATCGACTTTCTATTAACCTCAGCATTGGATTATAAATATTTCGTTTTCTTTCTCTTTCTCAGCAATCGCGAGGTTGTTATTCGGCACGCGTTTATTTTCTTACGAAAGGAACAAACAAACAAAACGGTAGCTGGTGTTTCGGCAGTATCGCACTTTTCAGAGCCTGGAAGGGTACAAAGCCAGATCATCTGCGACTCTGAGCGGCTGTTCTTCCTGGGTGGAAAGCAGGAAATAAAGGGTGGGTTTTTCGAGAAGCTGTTGACCGTGTAATTATCGTTCAGGTTTTCATCTTTCTCTTTGTTCTGTTGAAGGATTTGACTTAGTGAATTGCCCATCAGTGCACCCTTCCAGGTTCTGAAGAAGGCGATATTGCCGAAACGTCAGGAACCGTTGTGTTGTATGTGTTCCCTTTGTAAGGAAATAAACGTGTGCTCAATAACAACCTCGGGATTGCTGAAAAAAACAGGATATATAATTATTAGAGTCGTTATTATGGAGTGTGGGTAGCGTGGTAGTTAGTAATATAACCCATCAGAAAGTAAACTGCTGGTTCGAGCCTCTTCATCATCATTAAAGTTATATTTCGAAATATATCCTGCCATTAAAAAGAGCAGGCAGTAAATAGAACAGTTAAGTAATTCTTCGTATTCTCGTTGAGCAAACGCGAGGTGTTAGTTTTATTCTTTATTCACGAATAAGCTGACGTTTCGGCGGTTTTCGCCTTCCTCAGAGCCTGGAAAGGTCAAGTTGACAGCAATCTATTCGGCCAAACACCTCCATAACCAAACAAAGAAAACGCTAAACCAAGATTTCAATCATATTGAACACAGCTTTACACACTCACCGCTTTCTATGAGGCTTCCACTGAGCATGTCGCGTGAAGTCCAATCGCACAGAATTCACATGGAAGCGTAACGTGCCCCTCCCATCAAAATCACAGGCTTATATACTGTCCAATATCAATCGTGATAATGATGCATTCCTTCTGGTGGTTCATTTTCGGATTCCTGGAATTAATCCAAAATGCCTCTAGAGTTTTGCGCGCTTGTGTTCTCGATTGTTGCGCGAGGATCGCAACCCTTACTTCAAAATCTTCTCCGTTGTGTCTCTGCCTGCTGTGCGTGCCTAGTGGAGTAGTTGGTTTACGTTTGCCGACTAGGAGTTTTTCTATACGTACGCAAAGTGTTCTACCTGTTTCACCAACGTGTTCGTGCCCGCACACTTTACAAGAGATCAGATAGACTGTACCCGAACTCATGCAGTCGCCGTCTCTACCATTGGGGCAAATTATGCAATTTTGCGTTGCACATGGTCGGTCATATAGGCGGTTACGAACTAACTGGCGCCTAAGATTACTCGATGGCATTTCAACTATGTTTAGCGAATTCTCTATACCCGCTCTTCTTAAGAAGCGTTTTATAGCTGTACTTGCTTCATTTGAGATGAAGGGTAGGATAAACGGGACCCTTCTATCGCTAGAGATGTTGTTTGGAGGCCTAGGATTTCCCCTACACCTATCTTGAGCTACAGTTTCGTAGCCATTAGAAATGGCTATTTGCCGCGCCAAGTTCCGGGACTCCTCTCTCTGCTCTCTTCCCGTGCACACGTTGGTTACTGTTCGAGACATGTTTTTTACAAACGCCCTTTTCGTGTGAGAGGGGTGAGAGGTAATGAACCAAGATGTTTTTACTACTTGGCTTTCGGTACCACTTTGTAATGTAGCCATTTTCTGACAGGTGAATTTGGATGTTCAAGAATGGAAGCCATTTTTCTTTCGGTTTTTTTCGGGTGAATTTAATGTACTCTGAGTGTACATTTACCAACTCAAAACACTTGCCCACTTCCTCTTGTGTTGAACAAAGGACAAGACAGTCATCTATATTCTATATGTCTACAGCAGAGTAGCGGCCCGAGATCAGTAACCGGTGCTTCCACTTTAGACATAAACGCAATGTCAAGACTTGGTGCCAGTCGTTGTCCCATTGCCAACCGTCTTATTTATCTGATCTCCTGTAAGGCATGCAAAGACGAATACATTGGCGAAACGGACAGATCTCTCTGTGTCCGCATAAAAGAACACCTAGCCGGCAAACGTCTACCAAATCCCCACTAGGCGCGCATGGGACCCAGAGACATAACAGGGAGGACTTTGAAGTATGTGTCACGATCCTCGCACAAGAACCGAGAACACAAGCGCGCAAAACTCTCGAGGCATTCTGGATTAGTTCCAAAAATCCGAAAATGAACCGCAAGGAGGAATGCCTCATTATCACGCGTGATATTGGACAGTATATAAACCTGTTATTTTGATGGGAGGGGAACATTACACTTCCATGTGAATTCTGTGCGGTTGGCGTTCACACGACATACTCAGTGGAAGCCACATAGAAGGCCGTGATTGTGCAAAGCTGTGTTCAATGTGATTGAAATCTTGGTTTAGCGTTTTCTTTGTTTGGTTATGGAGGTGTTTGGCCGAATAGATTGCTGTCAACTTGACCTTTCCAGGCTCTGAGGAAGGCGAAAACCGCCGAAACGTCAGCTTATTCGTGAATAAAGAATAAAACTAACACCTCGCGTTTGCTCAACGAGAATACGAAGAATTACTTGATCAATGACGAGGTTAATAGAAAGCCGGTCGTGGGAGAACGGTTAAGATAATACGTAGTTTTCAAGCAGGGAGAAAGAAAAAGAAGCATGATTTCTGAGGGCTTTCTAAAAATAACTCGCTACTTCCATAGGGACGCCGGACTTCCAGCGTGGAAATAAACGGCTGTAGATGTTAAAAAAAATCAGCTCCTAAAGATAGTAGTGTAAGGCCGCGAATGTCTCTCACTCAACTTGGATACTTGGATACTTGGATGACCCGTGCTCCCAAGTTGTGAAGGCCTCAGTTTAATTTCCATTCTCCGGTGATTTTCTGGTTTAGCCAGTGCGGTTCCTTGGAGTCCTGAGGTCAGCCTGGCCGAAGTCTTTCCTAGGTCTTATCACAGGCAGTC